AAATCCCCAGGTTAAATTATAACTTATTTCCATAGATTCATACTCTCCTCCCAAATAACAATACAAACTGTGTCACTTTCTGCAATGTCACCTGCTCGGTATTTTCTTTCAGTCCTCAAACACCACTTACCTTTACATTGCACAGATGCACTGGGCTCCTTGTCTACCCCAGATCCCCAGACACTTTACCTTCTGCCAGAGATGCCCCCTGTCAGCTTAGCCTGCCTCTCCTGCCTTTCTGTCCCTCATCCTTGGGTCTCAACCTAAACACTTCCTCTGCGGAACTTCCTCAGCCATTGTCTTCTCCACTACTGTGCCTGCCAGAATATGCTCTTTAACATACTAGGATTCTCCTTTACTTTTTAATTTTTTAATAGATTAATGAGAATTATTTTGTTTTTTTTAAATTTTTTATTTTAAAGATAAAATAAAAGAGAATAGAACAAAGTAAATCAGAACAGAACAATGCAAGCAACACAGCACTTTACAACCAGACAATCGGACATCAACAGTAGCTACCATAATGTCTCTTTTCTTCGAAACTGTTGAGCATACCTTCACACACATTAATATCAAACATAACAATATAGTATATAATCATTAAAAGAATGAATGCATTATAGGACTTCAAAACCAAATAACAGGAAATGAACAATGGCTCCTATATTTCATTTTCCTCAAAAAAAATTATCTATACCATCACACGTAGTAACATCAAATAAACCACAACAGGATAGAACCAATCAAAATGCAAGAACAAAAGCATGGTAGGACTTCAAAGCAAGATGATAGTAAATCAGCAATGTCTACCATAATGTCTTATTTCTTCAAAATAGTTATCATACCATTACAGATAATAAAATCAAACAAAACAGAACAAAACCAGTCAAGTGAATGAAAGCATTATAAGACTTCAAAGCAATATAATAGGAAACCATGATTACCATAATATCTCCCATTATATTCAAAACAGCTGCCCCTACCATCTGACAGCATCCATTCTAACAAAACAAGACAGAACAAAGCCAAACCTAACAAAATTGTGTAAACAATGCAAGAGTTCAAGATAAGACAGTAAGAAATTGACAGTAGTTTCCACTTTTCCCTCCCAGGTATTTCCTCCCCTTTGCTCTTACTTTAACTATTTTGCTTTTGGATCCCATTAACTCCTTCTGTTTATAATGCTAGGGTTCACACGGATGCGTTCGAACTGTATTGGCCATGAACATGATCTTTAGTTGCATCCATTTACCTACAGGAGCTTTGAGATTGTTCTACTTTATAGCTGGGTAGCTTTCCACTGCATGAAAATACCGTATCTTTCTTATCCATTTTGCAGTTGATGGGCAAGTTACTCTTGCTTTTCTTTCTTTCTTTCTTTCTTTCTTTCTTTCTTTCTTTCTTTCTTTCTTTCTTTCTTTCTTTCTTTCTTTTTTGGTCTCCTGTCACATGAAACATTTGTTTTCTCTCCTTTGATTTTCAGTCTATGAATTTACTTTCCAGTTAAAGGTGTTTCTTGTGTACAGTGTATTGATGGATCTTGCTTCTTGATCCACTCTAGCAGTTTCTTTTTATTGCTGACCTGAGGCCATGTACATTAATGGCTACAACCAGCATACATTGGTTTGTCTCTGCTGTGCTATCCTCCTGTTATTGGCCCTCTACTTTGCCCCCTCATTCAATTGCATGTCTTGTTTGGTGATCCTCTTCTGCTGCTGTTCCTGGAATCATAGTTAGCTTTATCTCTCTCTAGAATATCCTTTAGCACTCTCTGTAGGCTCAGTTTGGTGGTCATGAATTATCATGGAAGTATCTTATTTTTCCATCAATTTTGAGAGGTAGTTTTTCTGGGTAGATCAATCTGGGTTGGAAGTTGTTTTCTCTCAGAGTTTGAAACACTTCACTCCAAACTCTTCTTGACTTGATGGTTTGTGCTGTTAAGTCTGCTGTGATTCTGACTGGTTTTCCTTTTAGGGGATCTGTCTCTTTTCTCTAACAGCTTTTAATATTCTATTCTTGTGCTGAATTTCTGGGATCTTGATTATTATATTCTGGGTGTAGATTTACTTTGGTTATGGTTAGTTGGAGTCCTCTATGCCTCACTTATCTGCACACCAGATCCATTTGTCATGTTTGGGAAGTTTTCTTCTATTACTTCTGTGAATATCCTTTTAATTTTATTTGTGTTGACCCCTGCTTCTTCACCTACACCTATTACTCTTAAGTTATGCTTCTTTGCATCATCTTTGAGTTGTTGTTTGCTGATTCCATGTTATTTTTAAGAGATCTTTCCTTTCATGATCACTAGCTGCAATCCTGTCTTCAAGGTTTGAAAGTCTGTCTTCAGTCTTCTTCAAGCCGTTTTGCCTGTTTTTGATTGAATTTTTAATTTCCTGGATCTCTCTTTGAATCTGTTTCACGCATTGTAAGTCCTTTCTACATTCATTTAAGGTTCCCATCATTTTCCTATGCTCCTCTTTATTGTGTCTGTCTTCTTTATACCCACTGAAACAATTCTTTCAGTGTGTTTGTGATTTCTTCTTTTACCTGAGACATTATTTCTGATTTGACTGCTTTTACAATCTCATGAAGTTGTTTCCTTACCTCACTTGCTATCCTCTCAGAGATTTCAAGTGTGTGACTTCTGTTTTCTTCCATGACTGTATCTCCCAGATTTATTCTGTGTGGGCTAGAGGTCTCAACTTGCCTTTTGCTCCTTTGCCTTGACATTCTCCTGGGGTTCTTCCCAACAAGCTGGTTGTGGGGCCCCAGGCACTTTCCATGTTGGCTGCCCCTAGGCAGTGTAGGAAAATGAGAGAGGCACTTGGGTTCCTCTAATTTCAGATTTACAGGGAGATAGCAGGACATGGAGCAGGCTTCTGTAGACCTATACAACTACATTGTGACTTTGCTGATGATCAGGGTGCATGGAGGTGGGGCTGCTTCTCTCCGCCTGTGTATCTACACTGTGACTCCACAATGGTGGCAGACACACAGGAGTGTGTTTGTCTGATTCTGATAGTGGGTGATACCTGCCTGAGGAAACCAAGGGCCTCCAGTGTGGCCTACAGATGCACAGGGCTTACACAGGCTGTGTGTCCCTCTCCTGCCTGCTGCCTGCAGGAAGGAGCCTTCTGATGGCAGCTCCCTGAGGGTGAAGGCGGATCTGCTGGTTCTTTCTTCCCAAGCTGGCCACCTTCAGGACGTGGTCTTTTGGGGGCGGTATACAGCAAGCAGAGGTGGCTCTGTCTGTCTCCCTCGACCTGTACTAGGTGCACAGAAGAAGGGGCCTTCCAGTGATGCCACTGAGCAGGCCAAAGCAGATCTCCTGGTTCTCTTGGCCCATACGGGGCATGCAGAGTAAAGGGCCTTTCATGCAGTGGCCACGCCTGGCAGGCAGAGGCAGATCTCCTGGTTCTCTTGGCTGCTCTGGGTGCACATAAGGCTGGGTTTCTCCTTTAAAATGGGTGTCCTTAATAAAATTTAAAATAAGTAGGGAGGTGTGGTGGCACACACCTATAATCTCAGCACCTAGGAGGCTGAGACCAGAGGATCATCAAGTGTTCCAGGCCAGTGTGGGATACATAGTGAGTTCAAGGCCAACCTGAACTACATAGTGAGACAAGACAAAACAAAAGGTAAAGATGTTTATGTATCTATTTGATGCCTAACATCCTGAACTCTAAGCTCCCTGGAGGCAGCTCAGTGGACATTTTTCCAGATGCCTAGCATGACATCTTGAACATATTTGGCACTCACTAGGTAACTGTTGAACAAATGAGTGAAAACTGCTGAACTACCCACAGGGAAATTAAAGGATTGTTACATCATGCTCAGGACCAGTTGAGGGTTTGTGTGGACCAGAGGAAGTCCATGAGCCCAAGAAGGTTGCCCTTCACATTAGTATGTAAAACCTAACTATGTGTTTGGGGGTGAACTTAAAAGTTACATAGAAAAATCTGTATTCATGATTTTAGTGGTGATTTTTCCAAGTGTGATTCTAGTTATCGTAATTGGTATGTTGCTTATGTAGGCATTGACTTAGCAGAAAACTATAACCACCCTCGAAAGTACAATTCATCTACTGATGATCGATCAGTAGGACGATTATGGGATTTTTTTAAAAAAGGCTTCTGTGCAATGAAATCAGTTTGAGGTTTTTTCCCATTTATTCAGATTTTATGGTACAGCATTTTGCTATTGTTTAAGTCAGATGTGTTAAACAATTGTGTTTAAACTCCTTAAGGAATTAATCTATATAATTCTGAAAAAAAGTTAGTTTATTAAACAAATTGTCTAATAATTTTCAGATTGAAAGACATTTCTTTCTATTCTCTTATTTAATTTCATTAGGATTTGTTCATAAAATATTTTGGTATAAAAGTTTATTACAGTCATATATCTTCTTGAAAGTCAGAATTTCAAAATGAGTATTTATACGTTTTACAAGAATAATCCTGAAGATATTTTATCACTTGACTGTAATTTGACCATGTGAGTACTGGAAAATAAGTAGAAATGAAAGACGATTAGTACTTATGTTTGGGGCTTTTGTAACAGTTAATACTTGTTGAAAAGTGAGATGGAGGGTTTCACTGTATCCACTTGCCTTTTTTGATAAAATATTACAAGTTAGTTTGTATTAAATTGACTCAGCAAAAAAAAAAGCTGTCCTTCAGAAAGGTTCATGGTTTCCATAGACTTAGGTACTTTTTCTCTGCCTTTCCCACAATTTTCTAAGTGCTTTAGATAATAATCCATTTGAAAAGCAAAAACTTAAAAGACTTCATTCTCTGCTTGTCCTGCCAATACAAAATGGAGTCCGTGGGACTACTTGGAAGTTACTTCAGAGTTTGATTAGATTTTATTCTGAAATTGATGGGCAGTGATTAGAAATCAGAGTGCACTGAAGTAAGACTTATTAGAAATCAAAGTATAATTTGCTTTTCTGTTGCCATCAAGAACTCTTGACTTTTGAACTCCTGAACACTCTCTTCTAGCTGCTTTCGAAATCTATTGAACAACTGAAGCAACCGGGCAGGCACCTTGAGGAAGCAGAGGAAGAACTTCAGGGGGACCAGGCGATGCAGGAAGACAGAGCGCCCTCTAGTGACAACAGCACTAGGAGCGACAGCAGTGCTTGTGTGGATGACACTCTGGGACAAGTTGGGGCTGTGAAGGTCAAGGAAGAACCAGTGGACAGTGATGAAGATGCTCAGGTCCAGGAAATGGAATCTGGGGAGCAGGCTGCTTTTATGCAACAGGTAATAGGCAAAGATTTAGCTCCAGGATTTGTAATTAAAGTCATTATCTGAACATAAAATGCGTTGCAGGTTTTGGTAAATTTCCTATTGGTATGTATGTCTGGATGGCTGATTTTAGTGTCTAAGGATTGTAAGAGACACAGGTAAATATATATGTCTATACAGAGATCTGTCTACAGTGATCTCTAAATAGATACAGAAGTTTCATTGAAACTCATTGGTTTAAAAAAAAAGAAAGAAAGAAAACCTGTTACACTAAAATTATGCTACAATGATATCCAAGTAATTAATAGGCTTTAAATCCACCCGAAGATCGGTTACACCAATTACTTCTAAGGAAAACGAACTCTCTATTATTTTTAGTTTATCTGTTGAGATCAGTAACTGCCAGATACAGTCTCCTAGTCTGATCAATGAGGCATTCTATTAATTTCTGACTTTTTGAACATGTAGAAGTCAATTTTCACATCACTGTACATAATGTATCATACTGCAGTCTTGAACACTGTTAAAGATAGTCTGCCCTTTCTTTCCTCTCTCTTTTTTGTTAAGTAGAGATGTTCTAGTCACCATGCCAGTAGTCATAGGTTATTGTGTACATTGCAATTGAAAATATTAGGAATACAGGTGGTTTAAATATAGAGATGCAAATGAAGTACTGTTTTAAATATTACTTTGTTTCACATGACACTGTGCATTTTACTTTTATCTTGTGTAATTTGATGACATTGTCTATTGAAAAAAGTCAAATGAAGCAGTTGCACATGTTGGTGAGAAGTGATTTGCAGAAATGTGGTCCAATCAGATACAATATAGGATCTACAATTGTAGCAAACACAGTGATAGTATGATTATCACAATATTATATCAAAATCAGTTTTTTAAGGTGTATCATATTTTATAATAATTATTACTAGCATCTCTTTAATGTAACTCCGTAATGGCTCGGCATATGCCATATCATTTTAGCAAAATAAATTAATCAAGGAATTTGCACCTTCAGAAGGATTGTATCCTTTGATGCTATACAATGCAAACATCTTTGAAAGCAAGGAAGACAATGTTTATTTAACTAAGTTCTTTGTCAGGTTCCTGCTGTTCTCCTACAGAAAAGTTATTCTGTGAGGCTGAACAGGAAATGCCTTGTGGAAACAGGAAGTCCAAGTGATTCATGTACAGAGGAATGTAGGGAAAAAAACCCTGAGGATAGTGTTTTACTCTTTCTGTTTTTAAAGGGCACTCTATGAATTGATTTATTGTCTAAGAAAATAACACCACAAGTAGGGAAATTGTTACGGAAGCTTTTCACTGGAACATTTCCTTCATATTTCCTTTTGATATGTTTACCTTGTTTTATAGGTTTACTTTTGTTAAGCTAGTTAAAGGTTCGTTGTATTAAGACCTCTTTAATATGGATAATCCAAATTGACCTAGAATCTTTGTGAGCTTTTTTCTATTAAAATATTTATATTTCTAAATTTGAGGTACTTTAAGGTGTAGTATCCTATTTCAAAGGAGATATAGCAGTTTTGCCAAATGTAGACATTGTTCAACTGTATGTTATTGGCACATATTGTTTACATTTTGCTGTGACATTTAAAAATATTTCTTTAAAAATGTTACTGCTAAAGATACATTATCCTTTTTTAAAAAGCCTCCATTCAAATTAAATTAACATAACTAGAAGTTAGAAAGTTTAAAACTTTTCCATATAATGAACGTCCTTCTGATAATTTGACAAATAGCTATAATAGGCAACACGCCCTATCACCAACATATTTTGGTTAGTATATTTCATCATATTAAAATGACTTTTGTCAGTTGTTTTGCATTATAAAAATATGGCATGCCTAAGATAAAATTGTATATTTTTTCCATCTCATAAATATTCATTTTCTCCAAAGTCTTTTTTCAATCTCATAAAAAAAGGGATAGTGCATCTTTTAAAATACATTTTATTTGGGGAGGAACATGTGGCTGAGCAGACTTTTGTATAATAATACTTCAAAGATATGTAATCACAAACAAAAAAACCTATTTTTTATAATGTCATTGAGAGAGAGCTTCATCAGTACAGTTGGTGGACATTAATTGTTTGAATATGATAGTCTTTGAATTTAATCACGAAACTACCTGGAACCAGTGAAAAGGAAAGCTGGACTTAAATACTCTTACAACTAATTGATAAATGTTTCTTTTAAAATCTACTGTATTTATTATAATTTGCACCCTTGAAGGTGATCTCTTGTTTTGTGTTGTAAATATATTGTTTGTATGTTTCCCTTCTTGCCTTCTGTTATAAGTCTCTTCCTTTCTCAAATAAAGTTTTTTTTAAAAGATCCCCTTTCATACATTTGGCTTTGTGTAAACTTGATATATTTAACTGAATTTGAAACTTGTATACTAGGTCTCATATACCAAAATATATTGCCATTTTTTTGTTGAAACAAGAAAATAAAGATATTTTGAGCAGTTCTAATACCATTTAAAAAATAATACATTCAACAATAGTGAATTAAACTCTTGACATCAGCCAATACCAAATAGCAAACATGTAAAATTTGTCGCATTTTCCTTTTCCAGTGTGACCTTTTTCACATCATCCTTGGTATTTAAATTAAAATGTCAACTTCCAAAGATAAAATTCAAGATAAATAGATATCAGTTCCTAACTCTACTCAACTAAAAAAACAAAACAGAACACTTTTAAAAGTTGACCATAATCCCTTGACTTTAACAAGCACTCCTTAAATATTAAAATGAATAAGTCCAATATCATAATAATTGTTTATTGCAGTGAAATCTTGAGTTGCAGGTATAAAGTAACAGTGATAATTTTAAAGAGCAAATTGTAGTTAAAAGATCTCCCCTTTTTATGGTAACAGTTTCTATAATACTAGCATGGAGAACCAAGAGCCAGCTCTGCTAAAGGGAACTGTACTGTACAGCCATGGGCCATGGATACCCACCTGTCTCCTCTTCTGCCAACAAAACCAACCCACTGGTGCTTTATACTGTGTGTCTGTGTGTTTGGATCAATAGGTTAAAGGCGATTCTGTATGTTTTTTGGTTCACTTAATGTAGCTATTAGTAGTGTCAACAAATTAATGTTACTCTAAGCCATGACAGCTTCACATTAGTATTAAGACATAGAGATATAATTATTGAACGTTATGCAATCGGTTACTTTCTATACTACCGTAAGTTTGATTAATTTAGTTAGAATTCTGAAGATATCATTAATGCTAATCATAACTTCCTGAAATTTGCCTTTGGACTAGAAATAAACAGATTAACTCAGTAATAGAAATACTAAAATAAGAGTTGGAAGAATCCAATAATGATTACTGAAGTGATATGTAAAGTGACTGTCTTAATAAAGAGCATTGAACTAAGGTTAGAAACTTTTCTCCAGAAAAGCAATTTTCAGCAAGGGTTGATATAATTATCAGATTTGTTCTTCTGCAAGAAAAAGACACATTCTCTTTGGAGAAGTGTGGGCTGCTATTTTCATAGATCTTAGAAAAGTAGTTTTTATTTTTATATTGTTTATATATTTAGATATAGTTATATTGTTTTTCAAGAGATGTTAAAAATAATGCAGACAACATATATTTTTCAAGTATAATACTTAATAGTATATACATGACATAATTATTTTGATTTGGGATTTTTTGTGACTTATAACCCTAGGAGGTATAAATGGTAGGTGTAAAATAAAGGGTTTGTGGGAATAAACTGAGGTCTATACTTGCAGCCTGTAATAGGCAGCAACTTAGATATTCAAGAGGAGTTTGAGACTGTCGTTCTATTTACTCTTGATAATTTCTCCATTCAGTTTTGAGGGGGGAAAGCAAGGAGGATTATCATAGGGAAATAAAAGGATTACTGATGATGTGATTTTTAGTCAAGCTAAAGAGATTTCTATTCTTATTGTTACATGACTTCTTAGCTGATAAACTGTTTAGACAATGCAGTGTTTCTGAATCACCTTGATTCACCAAAGTACTTAACTATTACCTACCTGAAGGATTCCAGGTATCCCTGCAAGCCCTTTATGTCTATTAACCTACTCAGTCCCTGCTCATCTATCAACTTGCATAGTCCTCACACCACCTTCAGAGGTAGGTATTAACTATTATGCCATCTTACAGCTGAGAGCAGTTGGGCACAGAGAAGTCAAAGTCAAGGTCCCCAGTTAGTGGCAAACAAGCTGTGATTGAACCCGGACACTCTGGTACCAGAGACCTTGTCCCAGTTTTTGTGACAGCACTGTATTTGTGCATCACATTTTTATATGTCCAGTATGTTCCTTCTGTGCCTTCTATTCAGTTGGTAATATTTTCATATCCTCCCTTCCTTCACTGTCTCCTTTTCTTACTAGTATTTACAGAGTTGAATCGATTGTCTTTTTAATCACTGCTGTAAATTACAGGATTGTGATTCTTTATCTGTAACTCACAAAAGAGGGTTCTAACTCTTGTATGAGGTGTCCTGCCATTTTTGATCATGGAAACTCATGGGTTTTGTCTTTCTGACGAGAACCAGTGTTGAGCTGGAGTGAATCAATGATTCCACTTCTGGTAGTTTCTGGGAAGTCTGGTGAGGGTGTGGGTGGGTGTAGGGGAGGAGAGAAGACTTTAGCCTGCTGCTTTCACCACTTCCCACCTTCCTCCCTCGGGAAGGCAAAGAACTCAATTTCTAAGTAGGAAACTTTTTAAAATTTAAACCTATCAAGAATGCAATTGGTGGGACTGGGGATTTAGCTCAGCGGCATAAGCGCCTGCCTTGCAAGCAGGCAGTCGTGAGTTCGATCCCTGGTACCGATAAAAATGAGAAAGACAAAAAAAGAATGAACTTGGTGAGCATTTCAACTAAAGAAGTCTGTGTAAAATGTTGTGAAAGTGAAAAATAGAATCATTTTTCCAGCCCTAGATGTTCTGCATAGTTTTTGAATCAGAAGGCGCATAAAAATCCTTTGAAGATTCCATTAGATTCTGCCCACATCCCCATAAGTTCTGATCTTGTCCTGAAAAGAAGCTCAGGAGTCTACAGTTATCAAACCCTTTGACAAAGTCTGTCTGACTCAAAAAGTTTGGGAGATGACTGAGGGCCTGAACTACTTCCCAAAATATGGCCTGATGTTTAATAGTTTTTATTTAAGATCGTCAGATCGTCAGATTGTCATAATTTTAAGAATGTATTGTCTCATCATTCTTGTATATTTTTCTCTGTGTCTTCTGCATTTTGACTCTAGTGTAGATTATTCTCCTATATTTATGACTGTTCTCTTGGTAGTATTTATCCTTTCTGCCAGTTTCTCTCTTCTAATTTAAACCATTTCTTGGCTTATTTGTATGGCTTTAACTGGCCAACACCTGACAAATTATTTTCTATCACAGTTTCTGTACTGTTGTGCTTCTTTTTGTAGCAATAAAATTCGTGCAGCCTAAAATTCAGCATTTTAACTGTCTTAAAGTGTACAGTTCAGAAATTCCTAGCACATTTACAGTGCTGGGTAGTTAGTTATCAGAACTGTCAGCTCCAGACGGGTTCATCCTCTCTGCCTCTAAAGCAGTCACTCCCTATAACCTGCTCTCAACCCCTGTGACTACTAACCAACACGTTATGTCTGTGTGGGAGTGACTTGCCGATTGTTGACATTTTATCTATCCCAAAATCATATATTACATGGCCTTTGGTCCCTGGCTTGTCTTTTGTGTGATGCATCAAAGGTTTGTCTACGTGGTTGTGTATGTCACTAATTCATTACTTCCTGTGGTTGAATAATATTGCACTGTATGAATACACTACATCCTATAGATGGACACTTTACATATTCTTAATTTTTGTCTGTTGTGGATAATGCTGCTGTGAACATAATGAGCTTGAAAAATGTAAACTCCTGCATAAGTTTCTGTATCAACTAGTGTTTTTATTTCTCTTGAGTGTGTGTCTGGGAGTGAAATGGCTGGATCATATGGAAACTTTTTCAAAGAGCCACCAAACTGTTCTTTCCATAGCTGAGCTACTTAACTTGCCCACCAGCAGTGTAGCGGGGCTCCAGCTTCCCCACATACTGCCCACCACCCCTTGCATGATGGTAGCCTTGTTAATGGGTGTGAAGTGCTGTCATTTCTTGCTGTGATTTCTGTTTCATTAAACACTAATAATAATGAGCTTTTTGTTTTGTTTTGTTTTTTTACCGGTACCAGGGATTGAACTCACGACCGCCTGCTTGCAAGGCAGGTGCTTATGCCGCTGAGCTAAATCCCCAGCCCCTTAAGCTTTATTGAACTCATTTGCTCATTGGACATTTGGATAATTTCCTTTGAGGAATATCTGTTCACATTTTTTACCCATTTTTCACATCAGCATATGTGTGTCTTTGTGACTGAGTTCTAAGATTTGATAAATACATTTTGATTACTAAATCCTTATCAGATATATATGTTACAAATATTTTCTCCCATTTTGTGAGGTTTTTTTGTGTCTTAATAGTGTTTTTAATGAGCAAAGTTTTTAATGCTACTGAAATCCATTTGTCTATTTTTCCATTCTTTCTTTGAGCATTGGTGTTATGTTTAAGAAATCATTGCTTAGTCCAGGATCAAAAAATTTACCTCCTGTGTTTCTACCAGAAAATATAGCACGCACTTTTAAGTCTTTGACTGATTTTGAGTCATATACACTACTTTAAAAATAATGTTCTTGTGCTTGAGTTACTGTTAAAGAGATGCGGTCTTCATGACTGGCAGGGTGCCCTTTTTTGTCATGTATCATGTCTTATTTTTCTTAGTTTTGGTTGATTTTGATCTTTTCTGTTGTTCTTGCTGCTGACTTTTGTTGCCATCTAGAATTTGATGTGGGTTTTTTAATTCTCCAAAACTCATTTAAATGCTATAATCTTAATATTTGTTATATTTGATATAAACTGTTTAGAAATAGTTTTTTTTAAGGAATGCCTTTTATCTGGTACTCTTTAAAACTAAATCAGTTATTTTTATTCATAGCTGTGGTTTTAAAATCCCACACTAGATACTCATTTTTACTTGTGTCTGCTTTGCACTCAGATTTCATGTTAACTAATGTTCGTGTCATTGCTTTGAATTTGGGCCTCTATTAATAGAAGTTGTGTAAAGAGCCCTAGAATTACACTGCTGAAGCTGAAAGCCACATATAGGTACTGAACACTTAAAATGTGGCTGGTGAAAACTGAAATATTCCCTAAGTGAAAACTACATATCAGCTTTCAAAGGCATTACATCGAAATACCTTAATATTTCATTAAGACTAATATCTATTGACTACATATTGAAATGAAAATATTTTAAATAAA